CTTTTCCCTTTCCCCCGGTAGACCCTGGCCAAGCTGTTCCCATTCTCTGTTAGACCCTGGCCAAGCTGTTCCCATTTCTCCGGTAAACCCCGTCCAAGCTGTTCCCATTCTCTGGTAGACCCCATCCAAGCTGTTCCTATTTCTCCGGTAGACCCCATCCAAGCTGTTCCCATTCTCTGGTAGACCCCATCCAAGCTGTTCCTATTTCTCCGGTAGACCCCATCCAAGCTGTTCCCATTCTCTGGTAGACCCCGTCCAAGCTGTTCCCATTTCTCCGGTAGACCCTGGCCAAGCTGTTCCCATTTCTCCGGTAGACCCCCTCCTCCAACGCGCTCTCACCACGCCGGGGATTTTCCTTGAGGCGCTCCTCATTCCCTAAAGAATTCCTCCCTGACAATCCCCCCCGCTTCCTCCCCATTTCTCCCGACGGCCCCTTTTTTTTTCGGAGATCACACCTCCCCGCGCGCGCCTTTCAACAGGAAAACGTATTTTGCCGCTTGCCTTCCTCGTTTTCGCGTTCCTGCTTATTGCTCTCGGCCAATCTCCGAGCCCTCTCCTCTTCCTCTTGCTGCTTTTGCTGGATTCTCAAGTAAAGCGCTCTTTGCGCCGACGGCATGAAATCGGGAATGCTGCCCGGCGGTTTCGCTAAGCCGGGGGGGCCACCTTCGCACAAGGCGTCGTGATCCAAGGACGGATCGGGGAACATGTGCTCTCCTGGAGGCCCTTCCATGTCCTCGTAACCACCGTAGTCTTCTGCCGAGGAAAACAAAAAATCATCAGCTGTTAAAAAAAATAAATCTTAAAGCTCCATAAAACAACCTTGATTTCTCCCCCCCCCCCACCTTGGTCTGCTGCGTGCCCGGGCATCCCGGGAATAACCCATCCCCGAGCCGCCACGGCCGGCAAAGCATGTCCGAACCGATTCCGGCAGATCCTCGGGATGTTACCTGGGTCTCCCATCATTCCGTGATCCATCTCCAGACCTTCTTGCTGTTGGTAGAAATTATCGTAGAAGCCTTGCGCCGGTGGGACGGGCGGCATCATGCCGGAATGGGGGGAATCATCCGGTCCGTAGGGCATCATGGGGGGTCCGGGACCCATCGGAGGACCGGGATTCATTCCCGGGCCCATCGGCATGTCCGGGTGCATGTCTGGGTGCATATCCGGGTGCATATCCGGGTGCATGTCCGGGTGCATGTCGGGATGCATGTCCGGGTGCATATCGGGGTGCATGTCGGGGTGCATGGGTCCAGGCATTGGTCCTGGGGGTCCTCCTGGCCCGGGGAACCTGGGGGGAGGTGGACCTGGGTGCCTGAAAGAGAAGAAAATTGGCGTTAATGGGTGCTCTCCTCTTCTGGAGGGATGGACCCAGCGCCCTCCCGGCAGCAGCACCCGCGCCGGACCCAAAAATGGAGAGAAACGTCTTTTCTACACGCTCGTGCCCACCGTCGGTGGCTGCGTTACAGGATCACACAGAATCCCAGCATGGCTGGGGTTGGAAGGGACCTCAGGAGATCACCTAATCCCACCCCCTGCCCAAGCAGGCTCACCCAGAGCAGGGGGCACAGGACAGCGTCCAGGCGGGGGTTGAAGATCTCCAGA